CGATTCGCAGACCAAATTGCAATCCGTTTAAGGTGTTCCAGTAATGAAAACACAATTGAAGATAAGAGAAATAAAACGCCCTTCAGCTAAAGAGAAGGATAACATTTAGATTCGCTGCGAGACTAATTTGTTTCATAATATTATGAGCGCCATAGAGAAAGATTTAAGCTTCGCACGCCTAAGAGTAATACTACTAAGTTAGTCTACTTATATGATTGAAATTTCAATTCTACCATTTTTGTTAAAAATATGACGCTCACCTAAAACCAAATCCAACTCAATTTAAGGTTATTGGCTATTGTTTCGTTCTGTTAAATCAGTACTTTATTTAAACTGCAATTCATATTGCTTGAAATTAATAATTAATGTGTATTGTAAGAATGTATTTCAAAGTCTCTTCGCAGTCATTGAAATTAAAACAAAACCTTGAGCTGAATACACTTTACATATATATATGTACATACGATATTACATTACAATCTGATCCCTCTGGTTACCTCCGAGTAACAATCAACGGAAATGAGCGGCAACAGAAAAAAGACAGCGCAGAAAAATTCATTGGGCTGCGAGTAGAAGAAACAATGAAGAAACTGGTGAGAAATGAAAAATCAAGCTGCAATTAGTAAACATGAAAGACTGCGCTGTAATGTGTGTTGTCGGCTGGAGGAGGCGGAGAAAAAGAAGGCGTGGGAAGGTGAGGAAGTGGGCGTGGGAGGGAATGGGGATGGGTTTGGTGTCAATGTTCGCAGACACATGCGGAACGGCATCCACACCCGTGGGCTAACTGCCGTTGTAAGCATGGTTAATAAGTTACTTTCAAGATACTTTATTACTTCCTCAACGAGGAACAAAACACACATTCACATATCATAGATATGTCTTTTCACATATGTATATGTGAGGCAACTGGGGCCGCAGGAAAAGAATGCCTTTGGCCCATGGCAGGACTACTGCGACACCGCCGCCGAATGCCAATGCTACAGCCAAAGGGGTTGCGAGTGCCTTTTATTATGCATATACAGACATTGTATGTGTGTGTGTGTGTGTGTGCACACTTTTTGATTTATGCGATTTTTGACAAGAGCAGGGCATTGTGTATGGAGGCAGCTCCGCTTTGATTGCCTGCTTGGCTGGCTGGCTGGCTGTTTGGATGGTTGCCCCAAAAAGTAGGCAATAGTTTTTGGCAAATGCAAACGCATGTTTCCATTGCCGTTATCAGCACGGCAGAGCAGAGCGAAGTTTTTCCTTATTATGCAAATGAAATCAATGTTTGTTGTGTGTGGGTGCATGTGTGTGTGGGTGTGTGGGTGTGTGGGTGCGGGTACGGGTGCGTCAAAAGAATAGAATTTTCCATTTTAAATTACATGCCAGCATCAACGACAAACGTCGCTCTGCTGCATGTGTCCCTCAACGTCCGTACACCCACATACACATATATATATATGTGTTTGTGTGTAAAGAAAACTTTTGTTCATGTTGAAAAACTTTATGTCTCGACTCAACTGAACTCGACAAATGAGTAAAACGCTGTCGAACCACATTAAAGGTAACTATGCAAATATTTGCGGCTCACACGAACAAACAGCGCAAGCTTTGACCCTTTTTGCTTGTTGTCGTAAGTACGCACACACTCACACTCACACATATATTTATATATATATATATATATATATATATATATATATATATATATATATATATATATATATATATATATATATATATATATATATATATATTAGAAAACTGTAACCTCCCGCTTTGCCATTTTGGCCATTTAACGTGTTGGTCACAACCAAAAATATTCCATGCTGGTCAATATCATCTGAAAGAACTAAGGCTTGTTCGACGTCCTTCGGCCGCTTGTTTGTTGCCTTTGTCTAATTGCGACGCCTGGATTCGCTTCATATTTGCTCGTTTGGTAGTTTGGGCCTTCACTTAGCTTCTTTCAGCACCCACCACCCCATCACCATCACCACACATCTGCTCCACACATCCTTGCGCTCAGCGCCCGACTACAAGTATGTGGAGAATGTCTAATGAAGCCACATAAATCAAGTCGCTGCAAACGAAATGCGCTGCGGCTCCCCCCATAAAGCCCAAGAGCCCCAGACCAGGCCAACGGTCAGCCCTTTACTCAGATCTCTACCTCCACCACTGTCTGTATTCGGCTAATTGAAATTAAAAACGGTGCCAAGAAAATACTACATACATTTTACATTTTATTGCACGTTATGCGTCGCCGTAAATACGCAGAGAAGATGACTGTGATTTATGCAAAAGCAACGCGACAATAAAAGGTTAAAAGTACCCCAACTACATGCCATAAAATAATGTTTTCCGAGCGCAAAAAAAGACGCATGAGGAGGGAAGATGCAGGCGTGCCAATTGAGTAATCATGTATGGCTTACTCGAATTTTCCGCGTTCTTTTTTTTGCTCCAAACTTCAGCATTTGGCTGTCCAAATGTATTATTATATTGTACTTGTATTGTAATGATGTTTGGAATAGTATTTAGAGTTTTTCCAAGTATTCTATCTAGCCACAGAGTTCAATTAAAATTAATTAAATGCGTGAAACTTTTTGAAAACAATTTATCGAACTAAAAATAGACATCAGTATTTGCCTTTTAGAAGACAGAAAATTTCACAAATTAATAAATTATATTTCTTTGGTTTTATTGTTAAAAAAAATATTGAACTTGGACACAAAAGAATGGAAGTAAATTCGCACAGATTTTGTTAAGCAAATGGGAATTTTTATTTTCAATTCAGCAAACAGCTTCATTCAAAATATGAAGTACTTTTTTGAACGATCGCGTATGTTTTTATTTTTTTGTTATTCTTTTATTTGTCTGCGATCATATTTGGTCACATCTGGTCGGATGGAAAAAAGCAATAATAAATAATATAGGTAATATAATAAAACAAAAATAATAATAATTGCAATCCTTTAAAAAAACAGTATGCTGACCACTGCTTTGAAAAATATATAAATCATTTAAATGCATTTTCGTTGCCATTGATGATGGCACAAACAATATCGTGATTTCTTATAAGCATACCAAGTTTGGCGTCCCTAGCTGTTATGGTTCAAAATCTTTCGATGTTCATACAGTCGAACAGCCGAACATGTCTATATTTATTCATCCCATCACGCTAACCTTTATGTTCCTATAAAATGGAATCTGCCACAACTCCTATCAGCTGTTACACAAACATTTGTCGTTTAGATAACTTGTTAGTAATGAAATGGAAATCTAAAACCAAATTTGATTTTGCTCGTTACTATTTCAGATCATGTTCATCCTTTACTACAGTCGTCCAGTAGCCCTTCATGGACTGATGGACCATTTCTGGTTGTGGTAAGTTTTAGCTGAAAGTTACAATTCTTTAAGCCTGTAGCAGCATTCGCCACTAGCATTATTGAACTAGATATAGAATTTTAAAACTGTAAAATTCTTAAAAGGACGTAAATACTCCAGTTGATTCTTTATTCGAGGTCTCCATAATGAAGAAAGCACAGCACAGTATTACAAGTGATCAAGTGAGATTGAGGACCATTTTCCCCACTTGCGAGCCAAATTTGATGACACCTGAGTGGTATAGGGACGCACAGAAGTTGCGTGAAAGTTCAATATTGAGGCACATTTATCGAATCAGTTTTCTTGACTTATGCTTTTAGGATGAGCGCCGCTTTTCCTAGGATACATTTTCCAGTTCAGTTTAAAGTTCCTTTGATTTCTTGAAGGTATACGTTTTCATCCCTTTTTTCCCTCCCTATATAGTTCTGTAAGTGCAGGTCTTGTGTATATCCTTTATTTTTATTTGAATTACATATTTATTTTTTGTTATTATTAAAAAAAAACACAATGATCACATAAAACATTTTTTAAATTACGTAAATTTTTTATACATGTTTTATATATGTATATATATATATATATATATATATATTTATATATATTTATATATTAATATTAGTATTATTTTTATTTATCAATATTCAATAGTTTTATTCATTTCCATTTTATTTAATACAATGATTTTTAAGACTGCTATTTTAGGTTTAAAATTCGTCTAAATTTCTCTTCATTTGCTTTTGCTTTTTATTTCCATTTCGTTCTCGTTTTTCGTTTTGTTTTGTTTTCAATTTAGAAATATTTATTAATATGTTCTACACAATACAAAAAAAAATCATCTACGTTTACTTAACTGTTAATACTTTTTTTTCATTATATTTATTGCACTGAATGTTCTTTATATGTCGCTATCTTTTTTTTTTATTTTTAATATTCGTACTCGTAGTCGTAGCTCCCCCCTCCCAACACATTCGAATTTCGCATCGCACGTAATATTAAAACTTACTTGGCTAGATTTTTAGGGGCGCTCGATACTGGAGTGTGTCCAATTAGCATACTATACATATATAGCGTAGCGTCGTTATACAATATTTCGGTTTATGGGACACACTCGCACTCGTTCCTAACACTCATAGGCTTCCAAAAAAATGTGCTTCTTTAGCATTACAAGTACAAAAACATTTCTTGTATTACATTATTGTTGATTAGTTGCATGTTTTCTTCATTGTTGTTATATTTGATCATCCCGCACTAAACTAACTTCTATATATATATCTATATATATAAATATATTTATATATATGTGTGTAAGTATGCGTTGAATGTTGGCGAACAAAACAAACAAGTGGTGAGCAGCCAGATATGGCCAAAAAAAATAGTTTGTTCGCTGCAATCAAATAGTTCGAGGAGAATTTTTATTATAAAAAGTACTTAGTGGTCGGAACCGCAACTGGATGTGGATCCGTAGGATCAAATTATAATATATTTCGTTTATTGCGTAGGCTTTGAAACGTTACTTCCATTCGAGGTGATCCGGAACTTGTACATTCCAGACTGCAAGTAATCTGATAGATTCGGCTTCTTCTTCGTCGTCGTCTTCTTCTTTTTACAAACGCTCGCAAGCAGGACAATTTAGGTAGGTATACCCCTAGCACCCATTTAATGGGAGCTACGAGTCGAATTCAGAAACAGTTGAGTTGCAAGCAAAAAGCCCAGACTCTGCCAATTAGATCAATGGAATCCACCCGGTAGGTCTCTACGGTATTTACACACATCTTAGATGGGCGTGGGCATCAGCTTGCTGTAGTCCTGGTGCATATTGGGCTTCACAGAGTTATAGACGGGGCGTACTCCGTCGTCGGGCAGGGCGTATACATCGGGCGGTACGCAGAGGGACTGCAGCTTGGAGATGTAGGAGTCCAGATGCTCATGGGGATGGCTGTGCGGGTGGTGGGGATAGCCACCCGGATGGTGCACCGTGTAGGCGTGCGGTGGTGGTGGCGGCGGCGGTTGTGCTGCACCACCGGACGGCGGTGCGCCCAGCGTATTGGCATGATGGCCGTACATGGGTGTGGCGGTCGCCACCGCAGTCACCGAAGCCAGTGTGGCACTCGGCGGTGGTGGTGGCGGTGGTGGAAGCAGCGTCGAATAAGCCACAGCGGCTGCAGCCGCCGCATGCTCATTGCTCGATGGCATGCAGGTGGGCACAGGCAGCTGCCCGGTGGTGCAAATACCGCTGCCATCTAAGCTATGGGGCTGCGCTCCACCGCTGGCCCCCACACTGCTGCTGCTGCTGACAGCCGTCGGCGGTGGTGGCGGCGGTGGCAGACGCACATGCTCCAACAGGGTGATGACATTGTTGCGCAAACTCTCGTAATAATTATTGAGGTTCCCATTGTGGGCACCACTCGCATCCACATGGGCGGACATCATGCTCGGATTGTGCTGATTCGGTTGATAGCCACCGCCAACCCCACCGCTAGCGGTGGCAGCATTACCATTACGTCCGCTGCTCGAGGTGATGGTGGTGATGGTGTGGTTGCTGCTGCCACTGCCACTGCTGCTGATCGGTGAGGACTCAACGCTGCTGCTGGCCGCTGCGACCGCCGAAACCACAGTGGGGCCGCGCTGCTGATGCGAGCTCAGTGGAGAAGCCTCCTGATGGAAAGATTAATCAAATTTTGGGTTAGTTAGTTAGCGGGTGGTTCAGTGGTGCGGTGGTGCGCTAAAAAGTGTGCTGACTAAACTTTTTGGCTGACTGAGTCATATTCGTACGTTTTATGGCCCAATGCGAAGTAATATTTCTGCCAGGCACAGTGCAAGTTCTTTCAGTTGTCCTTCTCCTATGCTGACAAACACACACCCACACATGTGTATATACATATAAATACATATGTATATACATACAAGTATAGTACATATGTATATAGAGTTGAAAGGCACACATACAATATACTATACATATGAGAATTAAAAATTCGACTCAAATTAAAAACACACCCAAAAAGAAAGCCGAAAAGAGCGACAACGCTATAGCAATGCATGTGCGGACGATGGCGATGACGAAGACGAAGAAGAAGCAGTGCAGGAGGAGGAGTGCAAAGAGGAAGCAGAAAGAAAAAAATTGAAATCAAGCCCCACATTTGGGGGCTGTTCATGTTCTTTCTGCCCCACATAAACGAATAAAGACGAGTCGAACGCACACGAACCAGCGCCCAGGCTCAGGGTCCAATGGCAGCCGAGAACCAAAACCAATGCGTTGTTGTTGTTGTTATTGTTGCTGTGGAGTACCTCCCCAAAAATTGCTGGCACGTACATCGGCTTCGTTTTTTTTTATTCAGAACATACAACAACGCCTCCACACAACACATATACACACCCCCAAAGCGCCAAGTCAGCCATCCCCTTAGGAGCGGCTCTGCTGACACCGAATACGAGCAGTGCTCGGCGTCGTCGTCGTCGTCGACGGCGCGGCTGGCGTCGCTGTCGTAGCACAGTCGCGAATAGGGGGAACCGTTTTAGGAGCAAATCGAATTTGCTGACACGAAGTCGCGCACAAAACGACTGACTGACAGACAGGCAGGCAGGCAGGCAGGCAGGCAGGCAAGCAGACAAACAGACAGTTACACAGACAGACAGACAGACAGACAGCACACACACACACACACAGCATTTTGTGGGGCAGAGTGGGGCTACGGTGGAGGGCACTGCCCAGCCAGGCAAAGGCAAAGGCAAGCACTGGCTGCCTGCTTTTGGCTGCGCATGACCATACACTCGAACACACGCACACACACACTCACACACACACACGTACAGTGCTAGGGGCAGAGCAGCATTGCAGTTGTTCTGGCTGTTGTTGTTGCTTTTGCTGCTGTCGTCATCATCGTATTTTTAGGGGTGGCTTCTCTCTGCTGATTCGTCGCTTAATGCAATCGTCAACTGCAGCGTCTGCGACATGCAACGACGCCGATTGGCTGGCACACACACAGACACACGCACACACACACACACATACAGAGACAAAATGTATGTATGCATGTACCTGCCTACATACAAGTCTATATGTATATAATTTCTATATATATATTGTGCGCCATTTTGAAATATGAATGCCGCAAGAGGCGCATTCCGATCGTGCCATTTGACTAAGCAAACAATTAATCCTAAATCTTTGTCAAAGCAAAAGTTAACCTTTCAATACACACATATGTTGAAATGTATCAAACCATATGTATCGACTCATCTGTCCATCACTAACAAAGTTAGTCTCTCTAAGAATGTAGATCGAAGCAGACGCATTCGCTGCAGCTATATTGTATCACACACAACACATCATATATTCATACATATCAATAAACATCAAACTTATTACATTAAAAACAACAACAGGTTATGGGCCCAGCAAGCTTCCACTGCACTCATATACCTTAGTGAAACCTAATAAATAAAAGTTTTGGTGATGCCGAATTCATTGTGAAATAATCAATGCAATAGACGCATAATTGTATGTAAATGTGTGTATGTGGTAGACGTACATACGTACATGTGTATGTGCAAAAATCTTGTGTGTATTGGTGACTGACGCCAACAAAGTGGTCGTTTAAATTTGAAATCCACAAATCAGTGTTAAGCACATAAAGCGTGTGAAAAATCAAAGTGTTGAAAAAGTACACGGTGAAACTATCGAATAATCGATCAACGAAAACACGAAACGTAAACAAACGCAAAAAAAAAAAAAAAGTAAGAAGAAGTGTGTTAGAAAAACAAAAGTACAGTATTAATCGCTGAAAAAGTGCGACAATATGAGTTATGCAAATATTAAAATTGATCCCCTCGGAAGGGACAATTATGATACCTGGAAAATACAGATACAAGCGTTATTAATAAAAAACGATGTTTGGAAATATGTAAGTGGCCAGAACGTGCTGCCAACTAATAGTTCTGCTGAAAAAGTTGCAGAATGGGAATTGAATGATTCTAAAGCAAAATCCGACTTAATTTTGTCAATCTCTACGACAGAATTGAGACAAGTGAAAAACTGTGAGACATCCAAGGAATTATGGGACAAATTAAAAAGTGTATACCAATCAAAAGGTCCCGCGCGCAAAGCTCATTTGCTGAAATCGCTTATTTTGTTGAAAATGCAAAATGGTGGGGACATGCATACCCATTTGCAAAATTTCTTTGACACGGTAGACAAAATTCGCGAAATGGACATGGAAATCATGGATGATCTTGTAACAATATTACTATTGTATAGTGTGCCAGACGAATACGAACAGTTTAGAGTCGCGATCGAAACGCAAGACAAACTACCCGATCCGGAATCGTTAAAAACGAAAATGCTCGAAGAATACGAAGCGCGAAAACGCAACAATGTCGAGTCCAGTGACGCATTGTTTGCACGAAAAAGTTATATTAAAGTGAAAAGTAGCAAACCTACTGAAAAGTTTAAATTAGCTTGCTACAATTGTGGAAAAATAGGCCATAAAGCCAGAGAATGCCGATCGAGGCCGAAAAATCAATTCGAAAACAATAACAAAAACAAAGAAAAGCGTGAAAGACCTGAAAACGCAAGTAATACCGCTATTGCTTTTCAAATATGTGGTGAAAAAGGAATGTGGTGTCTAGACTCTGGAGCCACATCGCACATGTGTTCTCAAAAGGACAAATTTCAAAATATTGTCAGAAATAGTGAAAACCAAAAACTGAAGCTCGCAAATAACATGTCTGCTAAAATAGCAGGGTGCGGAGAAGTTTTATTAGAGACCTCAAAAAGAACTGCAAGTTTGGGGGAAACGTTATATGTACCAGACTTAAGATCAAATTTAATGTCTGTTTCTAAGATTACAGATAAAGGCTTCGAGGTCATCTTTCGTCGTAACGGAGCAGTAGTACTAAATCCCAAAACAGGCGAGAAAATAGTCACAGCATTGCGAAAATCAAATCTGTACTACATAAATGAGCCGCCATCGCGCAGCAACGTCGCTCAAGCAACTGAGCAAAAGAAGGATCTTCAAGAATGGCACGAAATACTCGGGCATCTCAACGAGGCCGATTTGAAAGGTATGATCAAAACTGAAAAAGTGGTAGGCATCCAGGCCGATGTCAAACAGAATTTGCAGCAGTGTGAGGTCTGCATTCAGGGGAAGCAAACACAAAATCGCTTTCCGAACTCCGAATCAAAGTCAAATGAACTCCTTGAACTAGTACATTCCGACGTCTGTGGACCAATGCGCACCCAGTCCAATGGTCACTCGAAGTATTTTGTCACATTCATTGACGACAAATCAAAGTGGTGTGAAGTATACTTTGTCAAACAAAAGAACGAAGTATTAAGTAAGTTCACACAATACAAAAGCATGGTCGAGAATAGTACAGGAAAGAAAATCAAAACGTTGCGTACTGATAATGGTAAAGAGTATGTAAACTCTGAATTTTCTCGGCTGCTGAAAGAAGCTGGTATAAAGCATGAATTAACTGTTGAATATACTCCACAGCAAAATGGAGTAGCCGAGCGGAAAAACAGAACTCTAATCGATATGGCGCGCTGCATGTTACTTCAAAGTGGACTTGCAGCAAGTTTCTGGGCTGAAGCGATCATCACGGCGAATCACATCAGAAACCGGTGTCCATCACGAAGTCTAAATGGTGAAATACCCTACACTCTATGGACCGGCAAAAAGGCAAACGTTAACTATTTGCGGAAATTTGGCACAATCGCCTACATGCTAGAAAAGAAACCTGGAAAAGGAAAATTCGAGCCAAAATCAAAACGATGTATTTTTATTGGATACGAAAACCAGTCTAAAGCGTATAGACTATGGAGTCCAGATGAGAGAAAAATCTTCAAGAGCCGAGATGTAAAATTTACAGATCATTTTGAAGGAAATTCCGAATATGACGAATTCATCGACGCAAAGCAGCTTATCACGGGAAACCATGAAATAGTGGTCGAAATCTTAAATAAACCAACCAATGCCGTGAATATGAAAAATGAAGTTGAAGATGCGAAGGATCATGGAATCATAAGTACCCCAGTCACCACCAAGCCGAAAAGGGGAAGACCACCCAAGCCAAGGCGTATAATTGAAGAAGCAGAAACACGTAACACCTCTAAACAAAAAGGCCACGTTGAAGAGACGGACCCGCAAACCGCTGAAGAAGCACTCGCTCGTCCCGAAGGTGAAGAATGGAAAGCAGCCTTACTAGAAGAATACCAGGCACTGAAGAAAAATAACACGTGGGAGTTGGTAGATCGTCCGCCCAACACCAAGGTCATCGAAACGAAATGGGTATTACGAACCAAACGAAATGCGGATGGATCAATCCAGAGACGAAAGGCAAGACTCGTCGCTAAAGGTTTTGCACAAACACCAGGTGTAAATTATACAGAAACATTTGCTCCTGTTGCACGAATGAGCTCCATACGTATGCTCATGGCATTATCCGTTGAATTGGAAATGGAAATTCAACAACTCGATTTCGTAAGCGCATATCTAAATGGTGAAATTACCGAAGACATCTATGTGGAAATACCTGAAGAACTAAAGCATATTCTCAGTGGTCACGAACAAGAGGCCTACAAGTCAGACAAAGTGTGCAAAATTCAAAAGGCACTTTACGGTCTAAAGCAATCAGGACGTCAATGGTACAAGAAGCTCGACGAGAAGCTGCAAGAGCTTGGTTTGGAACCTTGCAGCGCAGACCCTTGTGTATACACCAAGCGAAGTGAGAATATACTTACAGTTGTTCTTATATATGTTGATGACCTCATGGTAGCATCAAACAACAAAGAAGCAACCGACGACCTTAAGAAGGAACTTGCAAAAACCTTCGACATGAAAGATATGGGACCCCTAAGATACTGTTTAGGCATCGAATTCGAGCAGAACGCAGAAACAAACCAGATAAAGATTCACCAACGAAAGTACACAAATGAAGTCGTCAATCGATTCCACATGCAAGATGCGAAAGCCATATCCACCCCAATGTTACCAGGTGAAAAATTATCAAAAACAATGTCACCAAGTACACCGGCAGAAGAAGCGAATATGAAGAACGTCCCATATCAAAGTCTTATAGGCTCGCTAATGTATCTAGCAGTTTGCACTCGTCCAGACATAGCCCACGCAGTAAGCGTATTAAGTCAGTATAACTCATGCTTTGGCCGAAAGCACTGGGAAGCAGCGAAAAGAGTCCTCAGATATCTCAAAGGCACCGCAGAAGAAGGACTCATTTTCAAAAGAACAGGCAAGGACCTATTCGGCTACACCGACGCCGATTGGGGTTCAAATGTCGACGACCGAAAATCGTACACAGGTTACGCTTTCATGTATGCTAACGCAGCCGTCAGTTGGGAATCCCGTAAACAACGCACAGTTTCATTATCCACAACCGAAGCTGAGTACATGGCGATTTCCGACGCAGCAAAAGAAGCAATTCATCTGAAATTGTTCATAGAAGAAGTTTTGGGCAAGAAAGGCGCTATCGTTATCTTCAACGACAACCAGGGTGCCGGCGAACTTACTAGAAATCCTGTATTTCACAGCCGAACGAAGCACATTGATATCCGTCACCATTTTATTCGAGAGCTAGTGGAGAAAGACGAAATCATCATCGAATACATCCCCACAGAAGAGATGCGAGCCGACGCCTTAACTAAAAACCTAACGAGAAAGAAGCACATCGAATGCATGATGGGTTTGGGTATACGTTAAGTATATAAAATTTTGAATTACTAACAAAATGTTAAATGAAATTCTTGAACATATGATTTGAGGGGAAGTGTTGAAATGTATCAAACCATATGTATCGACTCATCTGTCCATCACTAACAAAGTTAGTCTCTCTAAGAATGTAGATCGAAGCAGACGCATTCGCTGCAGCTATATTGTATCACACACAACACATCATATATTCATACATATCAATAAACATCAAACTTATTACATTAAAAACAACAACAACATACTAATAATCTAATGTAATTTAATTGCGTAAAAATAATTGAAATAATTTAAATAAAACTGCATGACAAAAGAAAATTTAACGTAGCTCTTGTATTTATTTAACTGTCTGGATTTAGTAAAAAATAAAAATGTATTGATTTTTCCTCTATTTTAAACGATTCCAATCATAACTTGAATGATCTAAAAGTATTCTAAAATAATACTTTATAAATAAATACATACATATGTATGTATATGCATCATACATCTTTTGGAAATGAAAACATTCACTTACATTTTTAATTGACTTAATAGATTTATATAAACGTGTCTGTCAAGTGTGTTTAGAATTAAATAAAAGTTTCGAAAAAGTTTCTAAATTATATCAATTATATAAAAGTTAAAGTTCAGCTAAATATTTAATATTGTAATGAAAATGAAGGGTTATTTGTTTTCCAATAAAGTAGTTGTTTAAGAAAGAAATTCAAATTAGAAGTAGTAGTCAATTATTATTTAATAATTCATGACATAAGGTATAAAATAGGTATTTAAAAGTTGAAAATAAATGAGAATTAGTGATTGTTTTTAATTGTTTAGCGTTGCTAGAATTTTGTTGAGGTCTAAATATAACTAACATACGAATAAAGAATAAAGTTTTTAAATTTGCTTTAAGTTGTCTATACACGCTCATGGTTATAATTAGCTCTCAGAATATATTAAAGGCAATATTTAATATCATGTGTCTGTCAAGAGGAATCATCGAATATATCACCTGTCAAATTAATTATATTCAACAAAAAGCATGACACCAATTCAGTTAAACAAAACTGTGGCGCCGAAAATTTATCTAAAGAAAGTTTGTCTGCAAAGTGAGAGCAGTCTTTAAGATCTTTAAGAGGAAGAGAGAGCTCAGAGCAGAAAGATAAAATAATGTTGCAATCAAACCAAAGCAAACGAAATCCAGCGGGCATTTCCATTTACTTAACATCAAAATTGCTCTGCTCCTAACAATATAAAAAAAAAGAAATGTTATGCGATTAAAAATTAAACTAGTTTTTAAAGAAATAGATTCAATTTATAAATATCAAATTGCTTAAAACTATTTTTTTTAAACTATGATAAAATTGTAAACAAAAAAACTAAAACGAAACTAAATGTTTAGACTTAAAAGTAAGTTGCCTATTATATTAGAGCACAATTATTTATTTAACCTTAATTATGTTCATGTGTGTGTGTATGTTTGTGTTATTTTCCAAGTGAAAACGGAAGTGCGGCGCAACTTGCAACTTCCAGACTGGAGTTGAAACTGAAGCTGCCGGCAAACCGGCGAACGGCAAATGGCAAAGCGCGATAATTTAAAAATAATAAAAGTTTTTTAACAACGGCGCCGAACTTTCTTGTCATGTTTGGGTTTATTACGTTTGCCAAAGAAAGTTATCTCGGCTGGGGTGCTTGGGCTGGGCTTGGTCCTCGCAAAACTTTGCTTCGAGTTTGAATTTTTTTTACTGCTTCGCTCGCTTTATTATTTCTTTTCGAGAGTTTAGAGACGTCCTTGAAAACTGAACTCAACTGTTTACGCGAACTGAGCAGCGCGCGCACACAGGTGGCGGTAAGTGCCAAGAGCAGCAGCAGCAACAACAACAACAACAACAACTACAGCAACAAGTACTACAACAACAACAGCTGCTCAGCCAAAGTCAAAGTATAGTCAAAGTCTCGTTTCGAGTTCGAAAATATTGTATGAAAGTTTTCAGCTCAACTTGCCTGATTTGTGCAAAAAGTTGAAACTTTCAGCCAGACAGACAGTCAGACAGGGGGTGTAGAGAGCGAGCGACCGCAGAAAAGATGAGCTTAGCCATTCCCAGAACAGAAATTAAACATGACTATCGCCTACCCAAGGTCAACGTACTTCTCAGCACCAGAGTGTTGTTGGGGAAGTACCGGCAAAGTACACGTATTATGCAAAGAACCCACCACCGAGCCCTCGCAAATCTTGCGCTTAAATTTATTTTTAAATCTAAACTCTGAGAAATATCCTAGAAGTGTGTTTCCGAATATTTGCTGAAAAATCGAATTATATTTGTATACCCCTTACAGTATATTTTCACAATCATATGTTCATGAAAGTAAAATCCTTTTTAACTTGAAAGCTATTTAAAATCTCGTTATAAAGCTATAACTATTCATTGATCTGTAGTTTTGATAATGATCTATAAACGAAATGAAAATGACCCTAAAAGTATAATTATCCACTAAACTTAACTTGTTAAAAAAAGTTTCAACATTTATGTGTAAATAATAATATAGTATTTAATCACAGTTGAACAAGTAATTAAATACTAATAGAGGTGCGAAAGAATGCAAATTTTTCTTATTTTCAAACTCTTTCAAATCAACGTAGTCTTTAATTGTCTTATTTAAGCAATTATGCAAAAAAAAAAAAAAAAAAACACTATTTTAAAGCTTTCTACTCAAGAGTTCACAAAGAAGCGAGAAGAAACAATCAATTAAAATATTCAAAATTTTTATTTTATTAATAATTTGATCAAAATTCACTGTGAATGTTGAAAATATTCTACGTTTTCAAGCAGCCATTGGCTTCCTTGATATGAGCGGACTATGTTTTAAAAATAGAAAAAATTGTACTGAAAAAATAATTTGATTTGCACAAATTGGTTTAAAAAAGAATAAGAAATATGTAAAGTTTGAAAGGCATTTGAAGACTTTTCTGTGCCTGGCTGGCCTTACGTCGCATTGCATTTGAATTAGTGAGATGTCTTAGTCTAGTTGAGGAACTTGATCTAAAATACTCATAATTTGTTGCCGTCAACGAACCTGAGCCTACGTACCCGATCGCTGGTGCTGAGCTGCGACTCCATGGCATTAATGTCGGACTTCAGACGCATCATCTGGGACTCGACGCGTGCATTCTCGCGCTGCAGCTCCGAGATCTCAGCCTCCAGAGTGTTGAGATCCTCGCCATGGCTGTTGTCCCCATTGGTGGCGCTGTTGCCGGCACCACCCGTGCTTGTTTTATCGCCGGAACCGGAGCTGTTGCTCGGCAGCAGGGATGACGATGCCACCGCCGTTGGGCCGCCAACGCCAACGCCGACGCCAACACCAACACCGACTCCACTAATGACGATATCCATGCCGCTTCCTAGTGCAGAAAGAGAAGCGCTCGGTTAGTTGATCGCAGGACCTACGAGGCTATACGCAACATTTTCTTTTTCAATTCTTTTTCTTCTCTGTACGAGTATGCGTTCAAAATTATTTCGCGATGGCTTTCTATGTGCGCGTGTGCTAGCAAATCAATTGGCAGTTGCATTTTCAGCTGCATTTGCTTCAGTAGTATGTACAGATATATATATATATATTGTATATACTCGTATATATTTATATAGTTTTGAGTGTGTGCGTGTGTGTGTGTGTGTGTGTGTGTGTGTGTGTGTGGGTGTGGATAGATGTCTGAATACAGGTGTGTATGTGTAGATGTGGCTGTGGTTGTGGTGTGTGGGTGTGGGTGTGTCTATGTGCGAGTTAACGGAAGAGCTTACCTTGGTCAGACTTTTTACAATTGGTTCATATTTATGAGCATTGCTTATGTGCTTTGTATAACAATTTGTTTTCGTTTGGTTTTCGATATTTTTTGTTTACTTTTTTTTATGTATTTATTTCTAGCATTCTCTCATATATTTTACATATGCTTGCGTTTGATTTTTAGCGTTTTTTGTTCGTTATTTATTTGCTGTTTTTTTTCTGTTCTGTTTTGTTTGCTTTTTTCTTATTGGTTTTTTGTTTGTTTTTTTTCATATTTTTATACTTTGTTTTTGTCTATTTACAGTAGATATTCGGCACCGATACAAAACGTCGCGTAATCTAAAAAAACGCCAACAAAAACCATGAAACGAAACAAAAAGAAGGAACACAGAATTAAAACTAGGAATAATTTCGCTTTGTGTGTGCAGCCTTGCAGGTCTGTGTGTGTGTGTGTGTTCGAGTTGTTAGTGGGTGTACGCCCGCACACACATACCTGCAATCGCACTTTATATATACAATTAACTATATGTTTATGTACAGGTTGTTTGGCCCGTGTAGTTGTGGTAAGTTGTAAGGAAATGAAGAAAGTCATTTTGTATTTGTATGCAAAGTTTTCTCATTTTGGTAATTTTTTTTCTCTCATTTTTTTGCTTTTTGTTTTTGGAGACATTTTTCACTCTCTTCGGCAAGTTTTTGTTCTCTTTTCTTTCCGAAACCAAAACCAAAAATTATAGTATTCTCTTGTTCTTTAGACGTTAGCACACGCACACAAAATTCCAACCGAAAAATGTACAAAGAGCAATAATAATCGTAACCATAACAAGCCCAGTTATGAATGAAGAACAGAAAACTCAAACACAAATGAGACAAAATAGGAGAGAGCAAGAGCGAGAGCGAAAGCGAGAGAGATCAATCAGTCTCGACTCACCTGTATAACCCTTGGGATACACCATAGTGACCTCATCGAACTTGGGTTTCTTTATCCCCTGGCTGCTGACTGTGGTGCAGGCTGGAAAGAGATTTTTGAAAAAAAATGTTCCTCTTTAAAACAGATACCCAATTCGTTGAGTTATATCGAATTAAAAAAGAAAACCCCTGGGACAACACGCATAAAAGGACTATCAAAATAACATTATCTAAACCGATGTAGAGATGTAGGGAGAGTGTATTGAGAATTTAAAAGGTGTGCTCCCTTGCTAATCACAACTAATAATATACAAAATGTTGAAAGAGCGTACTAATTATCCCATTGACTTAATCCTTTTATGGAAACCAAATGAAAACTTCTGACGTAGAAAGTAATTTATAAAACAATAATATCGAATCCGATATGTTAAAGACCAAAAATAATTGTTATAAATCAAATAACCGACAAATAATAAATACATCAAGGCTATACGCATTTTTGTTAGCAACACTGCGAAGGGGAGACAGTAAGAAAAATTAACATAAAGCTAACAGAATAACAATTATGTTTTTTAACAGAGATGTCCTTTCAATTAGCTGCGCTGTTAGTTCACATGAATGTTATGCTCCCTTTGACGAAATAAAAACAAATGCTTAGAGTTCATTTGAAAACAGGAAATGAATACTTTTCCCACTTTACACTGTTACCTGTAATACTAAATTTTGTATATTTTAGTAGCTCACTTGTAAATACCTAATGTTATAAACGAAAGTGAATAAATATAACATTTTGTGGTCTATGAAAATCTCCCACGCCTAGAATGATATTCTGTTTCTTTAGTTATTTTAATGAAAAGTTTTTCCTCTCTTATTGCGATTTCCAGTTGTACTAATAATTCCTTTAAACAGAATATTATAAAATATTGAGAAAACACAAACAGTATTAATATTTAATCACATATTAATCGCGTAAGAGTAATTGTTGCTGAACATGTTTCTATGGGTACTTCAATAAGGCGGTACTTCACATTTCCTTCGATCTATATATTTTCAACTTTTCTCACTTCCACAAAATACAAGAAAAGGGGTTGAGGGCTGGTTTAACAACCACTCTGTACATCCCATACAAGTAGGTTCCATCTGATATACATACCATCAAATTTCATGGCTGTTGCCGCTGCCACAGCGGCCTTGTGCTGCTCCACAGTGCCCCCAGCCTCCAGGACGCGCATTTTATTGCGATTGGCTATGGGACAGCCCGAAGCACTGCAATGAAAATGACAGATTGGTCGCCAGTTGGCGCTAAGTCCGCGAGTTGTGCTTACCTTCTGTGTGATAAGAATTTGCCGGTGGAGTGACCGGAACCATCGCAGCCGGGTATGGGGCAACGAAGCGGCTCCGAGTCCTGTCCATCCCTCGGTTTGCTCTTGGGCTTGTTGGCTCGTGGACAGCCGGAGAGACTGCGATGTGAAGAGTAGTTGCCGGTGACGTGTCCGGAACCATCGCAGCCGGGTGTCGGACACTTGAGCTCCTGTGAGTGCGACTGTAGATGATTGCGATCGGAACGAGAGCAGCCAGTCAAACTGAAAAGGAATTGTCTGTTTAAAATACACACTCGTCTGCACTTTAAGATTCCAATGTGTGTGTGTGTGTGTGTGTGTGTGTGTGTGTGTGTGTGTGTGGTGTGCCTTAAGGTCACATTATATTTGACTCTGACTAGATTTTATGGCTGTAGTGACTTTTACGACCGCACTGCGGCCAAGCGGCAGCCACAGGATATGCTCGTACAGCATCATGAATATTAAAGCCTTTACACAATCTCCCCCCTCCCCTCTCCACCCAGTGTCTCAGTGTGTCTTTTTAATGAGCAGCTGGACAATGGCCGGTCAGTTGACAGCAAATGTCAGCGTTACCTTCTAGCCATATCATTGTTGCATACTTAATTACCAACCGGCATCAGCTATGCTCATAACTGATGACAACTAGCCATGATGATGAAATGAAAATGACGATGAGAACGATGATGACGATGATGACGATGATGCACTTACCCGTCTTTTGTCTTGTCGTGCTGCGGTATGTGTTGCGGCGGTGGCATCGAGTAGCAGGTAGCTGGACTGGGCGAATAGCCACCGGAAACGGGTGTCGGATAGCCGCCGGGACCCACAGTGGTTGCATACGGATTGCTACACTGATAGGCAGCGGGGCCATATCCGTGATAGCCAGCTGGTGGATAGTCAGACTGCACGACCATGCCGTAGCCGGGATGTGGGGAATAGCCTACAAAAAATGAAGGGACACTGTGCTAGGGAGGCCTACAATTAACCGCACTTTAGTCAAACACTTACCACTTGGATCGCGGTATGTGTCTATATAGTGCGAGCCGCCGCTGTCCGGTGTCGATTCGCGACTGTACGGCCGCGGTCCACTAATATGTCCAACCAGGCCGAAGCCCAGCGGCCGTGGCGGTCCGCTGAAGTCAACCGGCTCCATTTGTGGGGAACGTGGTGGCCCACTGGGACCTATGGCGCCAGGCGCTGCAGTTCCAAAGCCTTGTCCATGGCCCACAACAAGTCCGTCCGCATGTGCGCCGTATTGTGGACTGGTAATAATGCTAAAGCTCCGTTGAAGAAAAGAAAGGCAAAGCAGAGGAAAACATTGTAGAACCATTTGAAAGACTGCAAGCTGTCTTAATACTAGAAGACTTAACTAAGTCCTAGCAACTAAGGAGAGATAAACTGCTTAGAACTAGCATTGAGATGTTTTAGTGTAGCCAAGAGAGATAAAAATAAAAGACGATAGAGAGAAGAAGAGGTTGAGCCCCAAATAGGTATCCTTTTTCAGAGATGAAAACTAAAGAAACCAAATCAACCAAAATCATGTTGTTAAGAGCGAGTAAACGATTTTGAAACTTCCACAGTATTCGCCCGTAAGCTCCATTTCTCTAAAAAAAACAATTAACTATTTTCTAGTCGATTAAGTGAGGCTGAACTCTGGAAACTATCTTCCAAACTATTATTGGCAAGAATGCCACGCGTATTGAATAAAATATTTGCAGTATTCAAAAATATCAGCCAACGATTCTATATACATATATATATACTATACTATATATCAAAGAAATCGGTTCTTAAAACCACCCGATCAAACCTGTCTACACTTAAATTAACAAGAAAGAAATAATGAGCTGATAGGAATGGGTTCTTGGTTCTTGGAGTAAGCCAATTGTCAGAGCCCAACCATAAGATTAAGGTTCGGAACAAGCTAACACTCACCTGTGTGGCAGTCGCGTTACACTCAGGTCCAGTGTCTGGCCCTGAGGACTGGGGACCTGGGGACTGGCAATGTTCGGACTGGCGCCTGGTTGCGGACTGCCGTTGCCCATCCGCTGGTTATACTGGTTGTGCGAGGCTGGAGAGTTGAAACCGTGTGGACTGGACGATGTCACCGATGTGGAGCCCGACAAGTCGACGGCGGGCGCAGCGCCACCGCCCACAGCGGGCACCGGTGAGCTGCTCTGCTTGGTATGATGCTGTTGCTGTTGTTGTTGTTGCTGCTGTTGCTGTTGTTGTTGCTGTTGTTGCTGCTGCTGATGCTGATGTTGTTGCTGCTGCTGCTGTTGCTGATTCTGATAGGCGGCCGCTGCAGCTGCTGCCTGAGCTGCTGCCATTTTCACGGATAGATTGATGGCGGAAAAGCCGGGCGGCAAGGGACCCATTGTGGGATCGTAATGGTACATGGGTCGTGGATATATGGGACCGCCACCATTGGCCAACTCATCGTGCTCGGCCTTGGCGAGCATCAGCTGCTGCTCCTGCAGATATTTCTCCTGCTGCGCCTGAAGATCGTCCGCGGTCTGGGGCAGGTAATGGTACATGTTTGTGGGCGCTGCTTGACGCTGTCCATTGGGACAGCAATTCGGATCGTAGCGCTCAAAGCCGCCGGCACTCGAAGCGGCCACCGAATCCACGGAGAAGGCCGATGTTACCGATGACGATATCGATGCGGGCGGATTCGGTGCATAGGCACTACGAGCGCTCGGCGACAGCTCGCTGGCACTGCCATCGGCGCTCGCCAGCAGCTCGCTACCCACATAGGGCGATTTATCGACGGCCACACTATCGACGGGGGCAAGGGCCAGCGTGTGATTGTGGCTGTGGCTGTGTCCGTACCGCATTTGCTCGTACTGCTGATGCTGCTGTTGTTGTTGCTGTTGCTGCTGCTGCTGACGCTGCTCCTCCGCCTGCTGCTGTTGGGGATCGGTATGATAGCCCGCAGTCTCGGCCGCATCGCCGGCACTCATTAGTGTGGCGTTACCCTCAATGAAGGGACCGCGTTGCTGATGAAGCGTATGTTGTTGTTGCTGTTGCTGTTGTTGTTGCTGCTGCTGGTGGCTGTGCGTGTGCGGCTGTGGACTCTGCATACCCACGAAACGGGTTAGCTCGTTACTGGGAGCACTTCGGACGCCGCTCAAATGCGTCGCATGCAAATCGGCGTTGGATAGCGTTTGGCCGCCCTGGCCGGACTGACTGCCGTCGGCCGCTGTGCCAGGTGTGGCGGGCACGACTGAGGCGCCGCTGCTGCGCGCGCTGCTGGAGTTCTGCGCACTACTGGGTGCGACTACGGAGCGTGGTCCTGTGCCGGCGCCAGCCCCGACGCCATTCGCATCGCTCGTCAGATACAAATGCATCGGACTCTTGTTGTACTCGGACTTGATGCTTGCTACGGGACTGTATTCCGATTTTATAATTGACATGGTGCCCGTGCTTAGTTTGCTGGCAGCGGTGCCGGTGCCACTGCCACTGCCACTTCCACTGCCACTTCCACTGCCGGCACTTCCACTGCTGCTACTGCTGCTGTTATTGTTGATGCAGTTGCTGTTGTTGTTGTTCAGATATTGGCTCGATGTGATTTTTAGTTTGTCCAAAGGATGTAACTCCTTCTCGTGCTCGACGGCAATGCCCGACTTCAATGTGCTGTCCACGGCTACGGTGTTCCATATAAGGGCGAGACAGGGGGAGAGAGAAAGATCGTGCGATGGAGAGATAGATAGAGAAAGAAATAAAGAGAGAGAAAGAGAGAGTGAGAAAGAGAGGAAGAGAGTTTGAGCAGTTTTACGGTGTTTGCTTTACGCTAAAAGGCATCGCAAAAATCGCAAGTTGTGTCGCTTTAGCCACAGTTTAGGGACCCACTAACAGACTCAGCTCGCTAGCAAACCCTAGACAAACAAACCTTCGACCGTTGTACCCTTGGGCTGCGACTCGCACTCATCATTAGCATCGGCATCGACGTCGTCCAGGGCCGGGACCTGCACCTGCACTTGGACCTGGGCCTGGGCCTGGGCCAGGGCCTGGGATTGAGCCTCGGCAATGCCCGTTTCTATGGGAATCACTTTAAATCGGACCAGCTTGGCATTAGTTGTGCGTTTTAGAGCCTTAGGACAACCGGAAAGACTGCGATGCACGCTGCGATGTGCCTGAACGTGGCCGCGTCCGTTGCAACCGGGTGTGGGGCATTTCAGAATTTGCTCGTGCAAAGCCAACACTGCTCGGCGGGCAGGTGTATGTGAGTGTGATTGGTGAGGGGAGGAGGGGAGTACGTGTTATTAGTAACAATAACGAGATCAATCAAAATCGACTAAGACGACAAACAGCAAAGTCTAAGACAGACAGTGCGAGAGAGAGAGAGAGAGAGAGAGAGTATGTGTCTGAGAGCGAGAGGAGCATTCCACAGCGAGCAAGCAAGTAGGAACCAGTCTACATATTTAGGCCACAGTGAGGAGAAAGGCAGAAGCGATACTGAGAAAAGAGACGGAAATAAAATTCATAGGGAAATCAGGGAAAGAAAATAATAGTTTTGGTGAAAGATACTTGAAAAATAGAGAGGCCAATAAAACAAAGGTGGAGATGGAGAAGTTGATATGACGAGTTAGCTACTTAGCTATAAGAAAAGTACATGTAGATAGAGAGAAAGAGAGAGATAGGCAAAGAGAAATAGCGAATCTTCTGGCCACAGTAAGGAAGAGACAGAAGATCCAAATAGACATAAGAGATATAAAGATAATTTGTGTTCACGGAAGAAAATAAAATCATAACAAGAGAGAGAAAAATAAAGAGAAACATGTAAGATGAGATACAATGTTACGGAGACAGAGAGAATGAGAGAATCAGAAAGGCAGTGCGAGTGCAAGAAAAGAAGTCAAGACGCTACTTGCAGATACCGATAGCCGCACCGAGCCCTAAAAAGGCACTTCTAAATAGATGCGAGAGAGAGAAAGAGTGTGTGTGTGCGTTGAAATGTGGAAGAGTATACAGCATGTGAGAGAGAAGAGAAATTGAACTAAGTTATCAACACTTCCGAGCATCGCATGGAAAGGAAGAGTGCCAAGCAAAACGCGTACAGTCTCAATTAGAGTTATCGTACCATCTGGATTATCCCTCCCATAAAGTACCTCCCATAAAGATTAGATTGAGATTCAGAGCCACATGCAGATATCTTTCTAGTGTCTATAGATTGTACAAGAGCCTAGGTACTAAGTATACTAATATGAATAATATTAAGAGTATATGTGTGTGGATATGTATATAGGTACGGGCATATACAGTAGAGGTAGAAGAGTAGAAGTAGAGAGAGAGAGAGAGAGAGAGAGAGAGAGACACACACGCACATACACAGCGATCTATCGATACACACACCCGTACACACGCACACACAAGCAATAATTAAACATGCGGTTTTTTTTAATTTTTGGTTCATTCGTTCACTACTTGGAAATATTTCAAATAATTTGTTGGACACTTACATTCCGTGGTGACTTTATCGCGTTTGGGACAGCCCGACAAACTGCATGGCAGCCGTTGAAGTGGAGAAGGAGTGTGACAGTGTGTGTGTGTTTAAGTGTGTGTGTTTGTGTGGAAGAGAATGCGAAAGAGAGATCGAATACAAAGTGTATGCAAATGGTGGTCTCTATTAGAATCGAGTATAAGTCTTTATTTTTCTGCGCTCGCCTGCTGTACCTTCTGTGGTGCGAATACAATCCTGTAGCATGTCCTTGGCCAGTACAATTCGGTGTCGGGCATTTGGCGCCATCTACAAGTATTTGTGATAAAGGAAACAAATCAGCAGCAGAATGTGGAGAGTAAGGAACTAAAAAACCGTGCAAGTCGAAGTCGAAGTCCTATTCGCGATAATGAATGGGACGGGCCCTCAACCCATGCCATTGGATGTGAAAAGTGAAAATTGAAAAGTGGCAGGAGCTGGAGATGGAGTACGAGTATATTTCTAATTAATTATATGGGTACATACATAAGTTATGTATGCTAAGGTACATATATATGTATGTACATATATGTGTCAGAAGACGAGACTCTTGATGCTCTCAAGTTTGTTGTTGAATACGACAGTTGCTGTCATGCATGGGATGTGGAAAAAACAACAGCGACAAGAGCGGCAGCAACGCATTCTTTTGCCTAAATAATTAATTAAAATTTGATGGAAAAAAGCCCTACATTATTTACTTAAAACACACGCACTCACACACACATCACACATGAGACTGACGCAGTTCCCGAAGGCAGACAGATACAGACGAGAACGCAAAAAACCAACCCGATCCATGGAAAATTTAACCCCAACCCAACCCTTGCCTAAAACTTGCCCGCTTCTAAGCACAACAACAACAACAACAGCAGCAGCAGCAGCACTAAGATAATGCATGTGTGTGCGAGAGAGAGGGAGGGACGGAGGAAGAAAGAGTGTGGCAGACACACGTTGGCGATGTATGGAAGGGGGTTAATGAAATATTTTTCGAAATATTTTTGTGTGTCTATTACGTGGCGGGGCAAAATGTCAAACTGCAACGGCTGACAGGGAAAGTGTGTGTGTGTGTGTGTGTGTGTGCGTGTGTGTGTAACGAAAGGTAGAAACTTAGCTCTAATTAGAATTTAATTAAAATAAAGAAGCGCAACGTACAGCAGACAAGAGACACGGTATTGCTGAATCAGCAGCTGCTGAAGCACAAAAAAGAAAACAGGAAAGTAGCCAAAATATTACGTATACGTAGTGCAGGAAGCGAACTAAACTATGTGAGGGTCTCTGCAGTCTCTGCAGTCTCTTCAGTCTACACAGTCCCGTTGGCTTCTTAGGATACAAGGCTAAGCCTTATAAGCCACATTAGCCAAAGTTAAAAGGCGGCTACCAAAACAACAACAAAAGCAACAACCAACGTTGGCAAAATGTCTGCAACGCACGCTAATGACTTATTACGTGCCTTTGCAAAACAGATGGTTGGGGGCTTGCGGTGGGGGATAGAGCGGCATAGAGGGGGACTTTATGAAGGTATGTATTAGTGGAACGTGTGTTGTGTGTGTGTATGTGTGTGTGGGTGTATGTGTGGGAGTATGTGTGTGTTGGTTGCGGCGGTGGCTGCCGGCAGCCCATGACAGTCTAAACAACTATTTAAAAAGTCATTCAAATTATATAAATGCGATAGTAAAGTGTGTGTGTGTGTGTGTGTGTGTGTGTGTAAGTGTCTTAAAAGCACTTCAGACATGGTTGGAGTTGGAGTTAGAGGGGAGGCAGTTCGAAGCAGACAGACAGGCAACTTGGAGCATATTAATGCCGACATAATGACAAAATAAATATGCGAAAGTGGTTTAGAAAACGTGCTCATATTGCTTTATATCTAATCATTTTTGTGTTTGCCTTACACACATACACACACACACACGCACACTCATAGCGGGCATGCAGACAGGCACGCAGCAAAGTTAAAATTTCTAAATTGTATGTTGAAATTAGTAAAAGGGTAAGCAACAACACTCAAGAAGTCGCGGGGCGCTCCTCAATATCTATGTATACATGTGTGTGCGTCTGTGCGTGTGTGTGTGTGTGTGTATTGGTGTGTGTCACATAAAAGGCTTACAAGCCATTAGATGCCTCCTTCCTTCCCCTGCCCGCCATCGCCCACCAACGAGCAAGTTAACGCCGTTTCATAACGACAAAATCGCTTTTTTAGTTGCCACTGAATGAGTTGACAAAATGGGGTTGGCTAGGTGTGGAGGGGAGCAGGAGAGGAGAAGAGCAGGAGGGCTCTCAAAATGTGCAAATAATAAAAACAACAACAACAATAGCAACAGCAGCAGCAGCAGCAGCAGCAACAACAACAATAAATATAATAATGTTGCTTATTATATAAACATTTTAGCTGATGGCTGTGGCAGCGGTGGTTGGGCCAGCTCTGCGGCCGATTAGCTTCCTGACATGCCAAGAAAAGACAATCTATCCACCTATCTCTCTCGTCTATTGTCTCTCATCTATAAACAATATATAGGTATGGATGTGTGTGTTTTGTGTCAGCTCTTGAACCAAAATGTGAAATATGTACAATTCAACATTATTTTTGTTTTGTTTGCTTCACATACTCGTATACCGTGCACATTCGCTGCAGTGAAGAGTTCAGACTGAATAAGTTAATTAATAATAATAGTGTTATAGTTGCATTAAAATAAAGTTGCTTGTCACTTATGGTGATGTACACAATTATATTTCTTATGTAGTTTGTGTTATTTTTTCTTTCTCTTTTATAATTATTATTTATAAATTGCAAGAATTACTTCTTTTCTGAAAAGAAATATTCTTATAATATCGTTGTCACCAGTTTTTAAGTAATTTAATTTTCATTACATTATTACTCATTGATTTATTTATATTTTATCATATTTCATCTATCACAATGTTTAGCATATTTGTGGTTTTTTTCATTTCTTAATTAATAAAACGGATTGTTATAAATATATTTTATTCCATTAAATAATAATAATTATGCATATATTTTTGTGTATTATTTCATTTTTTTATTTGAATATTAGTCTTGAATTTATGTAAATTTTTAAAGCATAATTACTTGTAAGAATTATAATTCATGTATGAGGAGTGTATTGCTTGATTTATAATAGAATTGTGGTTCTTTTATTTATTTTGATCGGTTTTTATCATTTATTTGCCATAAATACAATATAGTATTTATAGTATACAGATTTACATTTTATACATTCAGAACATTTATTTTTATTGCATTTTTTACTTATTAATTGTAATTACTTATTACTTTATTTTTTGTATAATTATAACTCCTTTTCATTTTGTTGCCATTTCGTTTATAATGAGGTTTTACTCTTTTCATCATTATTCGGAATTTTAGCGACACAAAAATTTAAATTTTTTTTCTTATTCGTTTCAATTGAAGTCCAAAATGATGTTCGCATTTGTTTTTATATTTTTGTTCTTTTCTTAATTTAAATTTCTTATGATTAGTTTCTTTATTTTATTTTTATTTTATCGTTCGCTTTTTTATCATTATAATGTTGTTAGTAATAATGAAAAATGTTTAGGCCTTTTTGATTGTCATTTAAAAATGATTATTCTTGCATTCTTGATCATTTGTTGATTTTATTTTATTTCATTTTTATCGATAATAATTAGTAATAATTATTATTACTTAGCATTTGCTTTTTATGTATTTCTTAGTCTTGTATTAAGAGATTTATTTGAATTACTTTCACTTCCACTTTTAAAAATATAATTGTAGACTCACAACATATATGCACTTTTTAAATTATTTGTGTATTATTATTAACTATTTATTATGGAATCAAACATATTTTTCATATATTTTTGAAACTTGAAAGAAGAAACTATTTAAAATCCCGATCGAAGTTATGTAAAATGTAAATACATACATAAATAATATATATAATATATAAGTATATTAATAGATAAGTCAGTCGAGTAGTGGGTTGATGGATTTGTAAAAAAAAACGTGCAGTATTTTATGGTAAGAAGAAGAGTACGGCATGAAATCAAACCGTATTTGAGAAGCGGTTCGGCAGGCAAAGTTGTAGAATCAAAAGGACCATAACACATCAACAATACTTTTCACAAATATGTATATACAGCCCTGTTGAAGACAATGATTATGTGCTCTCTTCTCTCTCTCTCTCTCTCCTTCTCTCTCCTTCTCTCTCCTTCTCTCTCCTTCTCTCTCCTTCTCTCTCTCTCTCTCTTCCACTCTCTACTCTCTAGTCGATAGTTTCGATGCTTTAACCGTTAAGTGATTTGCCAATTGAAGTTTGTAAACTCAATGCAACAAGAAGTTTCGCACAAACTGCCGATCAGTGGGAACTTGGAATGCAAGCAACAACTCAATAAATTAGGGAACAGGCCCATCTCTAGCGACCAACTCAAACACTCGATACCCAATACTCGATACCCGGTACTCGAAACCAGATACTCGATGTACATTTGTTTGTAGACTTAAAGCTAGGGACCAGCGCGCTGATTGGAGCTCTTATTGTTATTGAATAATTGGTTTCTTGCTTTCTATAACTTACCACGATTCTGACTGCCGGGCGAGTAGCTGGGGGCGGGCGTCGAGGGTGGCGCCACCAGCGACACGCCCAGGACGCCCTCGCGCGCTATATCCTGCATCACTGAGGCCGCCCGACTGCCAACGCCCGCCGGCTGTAATATGGTATACTGTTTGGCTCCCGCACCCGAACCAGAACCGGAACCGGAACCGCTCGAGCCCGTGCCCGTCTCCTTCAGAGCGGACAGTTTGGCGGCGGCCGATTTCTCATCGTTGGCCGTCGTGCCGCCGATATGTGTGGCAATGTCGAAGCTACTGGTGCCACGCGGCGGTAGCGGCGGTGGCGGCAGCAGACACCCATTGACATCCATGCCACCACCACCGCCGCCATTGGCCGCACCAGCAGCCGCGTGCTGATGGTGACTGGCGGCTGCCATCGCCGCAGCAGCATGCTGGGCTGTGTAGCCATAATAGGCGAGACCGGCGGCGGATTCAGCAACCGCTGCAGCGGCCGCTGCCGCATTGTAGGCGGTGGTTGTGTAGGGCGTGCCCGCATAACTGCTCAGATGGCCGTTGCGTTTGATCAGATCGGGATTGGGCGGCTTGAAGGCGGACGCCGCCTGCGAGAAGGCAGCGGCGGCTGTCGCCCCGTTCGATTTCTTCAGCCGCTCATCCCCAACCACATGACCATGGCCATGGATGTGGGCATGGGCATGGACATGGGCATGGGCATGGGATTGGGCTTGGACATGTGCGTGGGAATTTAGATGAGCCTGATCGTTCTCCTTTTGTCTGTGAAGAGTGTGGGAAAGTGGTTGTGGTTGAGTGGTTGTGGTTCTTGTGCTTTCGATTGTTTCGGCAGCTTCATACTTTTGTTTCTCCTCGAAGAGGTTCTGGAAGGGCGGCGGATTCTCGTCCTGCTCCTGCAGCCGATACAGATTGCCTCTGGCATCTGGCCAGCTGCCGGAGAGGCTCTTAAGCGCCGCCTGTGTCTCTCTTATTAGCGTCTCATCGTCCTGATCGGCATCGGCGGCGCCTGTGGCGTTCAGCTTGGCTGTGAGTGTGGGGGTAGCTGTTGCTCCTGTTGTCGTCGCTGTTGTTGCTGTTGTAGCTGTTGTTGTTGTTGCTAGTGTGGGACTTTCGGGACTTAAAATGTTATTGGCATTCGTTATTATTGTAGCTGCTGTTGCTGTTGTGGTTGCTGTTGATGCCGCCTTCGCACCACCGCCGGCCAATTGTCGCTTCTTCTGAGGCAGTGTGCTGGCCGTTGCGCTCTTCTCTTCATATTTGTTGTTGCTATTCTGACTGTTGTTGTTGTTGTTGTTGTTACTGTTGTTGTTATTATTGTTGTTGGTTGACTCATCATCGCGACTGCAACGCTTTTTGCGTTTGATTGCCGTTTCGTGTTCATCATTATATTTGTTGCTACCGCTATTGTTGTTGTTGTTGTTGTTGCAGTTGTTGTTGTTGTTGCTTTCGACCAAGGGTGTATCCTTGGTGAGCGGTCGCTTGGACAGCGCCATCATGTCAATCCTTTTTGTGTTTTTGTTGAAACGACAACAAGTTGAGTGAGCTCGATTTTTTTTTGTCTCTTTTTTAAAAAATGTTTGTTGGGTTGCTTGGGGGTGTGGGGGATGGGTTGTTGGTGGTGAGGCGGGGTTAGTAGGCATGCAGGCTAAAAACTAAAACTAAGACGCCCATTGAACAAACTGTGACAGCTGTAAGGAATATTTAATTTGCTAATACACGAGATCTAATCCAAAACAAATAATAAATAAATAAATAGGCCAGCGAATAAACTGTTCTGGAAATAAATTTGCATGTATGAGCCCGCAATACGTCGATGTGGGCTAACAAACACTTTTGGGTACTATGGGAACTACCAATATGCTTTCATTTGTACTAACCGGTGTAACGATTTTGCTGTAATACCCCAAAATATAGTTTCCATCATACGGAATAGGTCAATTGTTTATTTTTTTTTAAATTTATATATAAATGGAAATATGAAGAAAGATTTTGTATTGTTAGTCCGAAATCTAAATGGAGCTCTTCATTTTATGGGCCGCCTAACTCTTGGTTTCTTAATATTCAGACTTGGTTGTATGCAGTGCTCTAAAATAAGTCTAAGTGCCTATAATAAATATTTTTATAAACATAAGAAAGCTACTTAGATTACTTAGAACGCACTTCTGAACAATAAAGCAGATAGGTAGATCTTTCTTTTCATTGGATTTTATGGCAGAAGTGGGCTTTTTCGAAAAAATATGAATCTTCAATCTCAATTTGTTTAAACTTAAGCCTCTTATAATCTAAATTAATAACGATTTAAATCATCATTGCAAAGATAGAGTTGGAAATATATTAGTATATATATGTACATATACATTTTTCTCTGCAACTTCTATGTTCTCTTTGCTGAATTTTCGTTGGTTTGTACACATATCTCACAATTAATTATTTGTAATATTATAAGGGGTATTACACTCAGAATAGTATTTTTTCTGAAAAATTAGTTACCTGTTGAAGCATTTACAAGCTATGCATGAATATTGACAATTGAAAACTTTATTTCCACCTGCACAACAAAAGTCTATGTTAGATTCATTAAAACTCTTGGTTTCCTTAAACTACTTGTACCTTTAAAATCTTCTGCTCCTTATGGAATAGGGAATTGTTAAAATTCAGAGAACACAAACTTAAGCTCACTAAATACCTGACATCACTGAATAATCATTAAATAAATAAAAACTGTGGTAAACAGCTAGTATGATGAGCATTTGGTCCGCGGCTTGAAGATTTCAGTTTGCAGCTAAAAGTATGCTACAGATTTTTTTAAATTACTCGAGGCTTTTCTTCTTCTGCACCCATCGCTAAGAACTTCAATACATATTTGAATGTACTATATAGTATGTATGGGTGTTTGTACAGAGAGATAGCTTAGTTATAATTAGCCTGTAATTTGGCCTTAATTTGCTGAAGAAAGCTTTGTAGAAATTACAATTTAAAATATATAAGTATGGAAATAAATGGTTTTTTTTCGGTATTTTTTTCGCTGAAACGCTCTGTGCAATTTTGAATTTTAAAAGTGTTTGTTCTTGTTGCATTGAATTTCATTCTATATTTCTACACAGTAGCAGGATATTGTTTTATTCTTCTCTTTTATTTTTAAATGTTTTTTGAGGTGCTGTTCATTTGGCTGACAGAGACGAACAAACGCAAACGGAGAACACACAAAACAAAAACGAAAAATACAAAGTCTAATGCTAAAGGCTATTCAAAATTTGAAGAACTAGAAAAGACTTGTTTCTGCTCAATGTAAGGGCATATAGTATGTATATGTATATGTCTGAGTAGTTAGTATTTAATTAGTAGTTAGTTTTAGTTACTAGTTAGTACTTGGTACTTTGAACTTAGTTGCGAGTTGTGAATACGATTAAGTAGAAAAGTAAAAATTTAAAGTTGAACTTTACCTATGAGTTAATGTTTGGATTTGATTCGAATGCGTTATTTTGCCTCTGCCTGTGGTTGTGGTTGTGGCTGTCGTTTTTCTGGCGGTTGCTGTTGCTATTTGTTGTTGTTGTTATTATTATTATTATTACGTCTGGCAGCCATTTGCACAATTGCACTTTTTCAATACATATGTGTATATTCATCCATTCATTCATACATATTCGTATATAATTATTTCATTTCATCAAAACGAAAAAAAAATTATATTTTGAGTTTCACACACTGGGAGGACAACAACAAAAAAAAGTTCTGCAAGTTCAGCTTATTATCGAATGAACTAACTTTTTCACTCACTTTTATTTGGTGTTGTTTACTTTTTGTTTGAGGCTTCTGTGACTTGCCAGACACGCGGCGTATACGCAATGTGTTAATTACTTGGCAGGACGATGAGGTTGATGTTGAGGCTGAGGTTAAGGAGCACGCACTTAAAAAAGAAGCTGCCGCACTTTGACTTTCTTCTCAGCTCAGCTCAACTCAGCTCAGCTCGTCTTGGTTTGTTGTGTTTTGTTTGGTTTGTTTGTTTTGTTTTCTTTATTTGGGTTTGGTTTGGGTTTTCTGCTTCGCCTTCTTCTTCTTCTAATAGGCCGCTGAAGTTTTAGTTTCTAATTTGTTGCCTTAAAATTTGTAGGTCTCACGCACAGACGCACGCACACACACACATAAACACACAGACGCACAAACACAGACACGAGAGCGCGGAAAAGCAGCAGCCTTTGAACTTTGTTGCGCTTTTTTGTTTTTGTTTCTGTTATTGTTGCTGTTGTTGTTGTTGTTGCTGCAGCAGTTGCGAGTTTAGTTTTTAGTTCAAAAAGTTTTTACTTTTATGCCGACGCGCGAAGTTGTTCGTTGCCATTTATGTAATAGTTGTTGTTGTTGTTGCTGTTGCAAGACAGTGCCAGAGCTGGAGCTGGAGCCGGAGCCAGAGCCTAAGCAAAAGCCAAAGCTATAGTCAAGCCAGAGCTGATGCATGTAGCCAGCTTTGCGTTTGGGCCAAAATTGCAATAAACTCTCGCGAATCGGTGTGAAGTCCGGACGTCCAAAACCCGACTGCTGGCAGTGTGTTGGGGTAATAAAATTTTACGTCGGCAGCGAACCAGCGCCGTCAATCTAAATGCTGGCAGCGACGCAACGACGAGAACGACGACGACGACGATGACGATAATATAGACGACGACAACGATGGTGATGCGAACGAACGCATCGGAACGAAGGTCGCACGACGAGGCGCCACTTTCAAGCTTGGGAATCCGGATTCCTCAGACTTCCCTGCAACGCGTGCACTTCTCAAAAGTGCCGTGTAAAGTGTGGGGGTGGTGGTGAGGTGGGGGTCGGGAGTTGACGTTACCTTCGGCTACCCGAGTTCGAAACAATGCAAACGTATATATATATATGTACGAGTCCGTCCGTCCGTGCACGTTGCTTTCTATTCCAGCAGGGCGCCAACGCGTTCTTTTTCTGGTCAGGAGGAAGCCGAATGCGCGCGTCTCTACCTGTTCTAAGTTCGCTGTTAACTGACAGTTTTCCAAAGTTGTCGAACTTTCGAACGCAATGAAAATTGCAGCCAAAAATTTTCTACAAGCAGCGCGTCGCTGCCAGCGTCAGCAGTGGCCGCGACAGCGACACAGAGCTCGTGAAATGGAATCGTGCCACAGAAACGAATCGTGGCTTCAAATATTCGGAGTAAAAACGACGCCAACGACAACGACGACAACGACAACGACGATGACGATGACAAGGACGCTTCACTTTCTCCTGCCTGGGTAGCGCGCCTTCTCGCTCCCACACACAAGTACACAGCCACGAGCTGAGTGTAAAAAGGCAACGAATCTGTTTGCGCGTATCACAGTTTCTAACATTCCAACAGCATGCGTCGCAAAGCCAGTAGAACAGTGTTAAGTGTTATACGGCCAGCGTATGCCAGCTTTGGCTTTGCCTTTGGCTATTGATTTCAACGCCTGCGCACTGCGCAACTTCCCCTGCGGTCGACGCCGACACCGACACCGACGCGACGTCGACGCTGACTTCGGTTTGGGTCAACAACTTGTCCGAAAACCAAAAGAAGAAAAGGAACGAACGAAAAAAATACACGAAGGAAGGAAGAAAGGAAGGAAGCAGCAAAGGGAGCAGCGGCCAGAACAGGCTCCGAACTTCGTTTCGCTGCGGCTGTTCCCGCTTCCTACACGTCCTGCCGCTTCCGTTGTAGCACCCACACATACACACACACACACACCCACTCCTCCCCCATCTGTTCATCCGTCTGTCCATAGTCGCTTCATGCCAGCGCGCCGCTTATTTGCCTTTTATCCTGTGCCTCTCTAATTGTAAATTCCAACAGCAGCGGCAGCAGTGCGCTCCGCTTCGGTCCAGTCCGGTCCCGTCCGGATCGATCCGCTCGGTCCGAGCTCAGAGCAGCTCAGTGCGTTTGGCTTTTGTTCGCCACAGAATTTCCTATCCATGACAGTGACCCGTTCAGTCCAAGATAATTAAGCCAGAATTCTGTGGCTTTCGTTACGTTGCTGCTCTTTTTTTCAATTTTTCTTCTTTTTTTTTTACTTTGTACTTTGGATTGCGCAAAACACAACAACAACCACAACAACAACAAAGAGCTCAAAGAGTGACGACGATCTTGCCAATCTCGTTGCCATTCTATATCAGCAGACGCGGCAACTCATGGCGCTGGCGACTCAGCCGACTTATCAGCCACAGGCACAACTTTTTCTGCTGCTTTTAGAGTGCTCGCCGGTCTGGACTCTGATCATGGCTTTGGCATGACGATGACGATCAGCCATGATGGGCCCATCACTTAACGCGCTGCAGTGTGATAAGCAGAATCGAGGAAGCAATCCGACAGTCCAGCATTCCGAGTGCATTCCTCACATAATGGCAAATGGCATTCATATCGGTACTTAACGCCCAAATGCGAAAAATGTCAGCGCCTCTCAAAAGTGTAAGCCAGAAAATCGCACAAATATTCTCAGTATATATATGAGTGGTGTTCAACAATATCGAA